GCCGCTCCTCTTCCTCAGCGGTTTAAGGGCACGGACGGCGCGGAGAAGGCGGCGGAGAAAGCGAAGCCCGCTAAGGCGGAGGAGGCCAAGGGGAAAGCGGCGAAGCCCGAGGAGAGCATGGAGGAGGTCGGTGCAGCATCCCCGCCTCGCCTTGTTTGGGCCATCACGGTGGTCAGCCAGACGAACCAGGTCTTTAAAAACCTGGTTCCGGCAAGCAGTCCGGCGTTCATGCCGCGTCTTAACCTCGCGTGGCTTCTCTACCTTGAGCGATGGGCCCTGTGCATCTCTCCCAGGGCTTTGCTGAACGCTGCGCCTACGCTGCTACATTTTCCCCGAATGCTACGGCACTGCAGTAACGCCTGAACGCTTTAAAATGTGCCGTTCGCTAGCAGCGTGTGTTCATTCACCGCCTTGAACTTAGCGGCTGTTCAGTCTTGAACGTGGTTGGTCTGAGACTAGTTAATGCTGCGGTCAAAACTCTCTTTTTATAAACTTAGGGGCCACCGAAGTATACAAAATCCATTTTAAAGAAGGGCGATAAAACCAACTTTCCGAAGAAGGGAGACACTGTTCATTGCTGGTATACAGGAAAACTACAGGACGGAACAGTCTTTGATACCAACATTCAAACAAGTAAGGTCATGTGTATACTGTCCGGCTTTTGTTGCAAATGCACGTAGAGGAAATTAGCTGGAATCGTTAAGCAGCCTTGGGCGAGCGTTTGCTTCTGGAAGGTGCGCGTGGTGGGAGTCCTGACAACCTGCTTTTGCCATGGTGGTGTTGAGCTGACCGGGGCTGTCTCTGCAGTCTGCTCCTGGAGCCTGATTTTCCATGAGGGAACGCAGGGCAGTATTTTAAGACTGGCTGGTGTCAAGTGACACCGCTGCATCTTGCCAGGCCTCACGTTTGGCATTCTCCAGGCTATAGATAATGTGAAATGCAGGGATTTAATCAGTACTGGAACTACTTTGGAGGAAAGACAGTCCCTGCTCGGGGAGCTTCCCTTATCTACGGAAGTCGAGCCCCAATGGTGGAGGTAGCTTCTCTAAATAGACACGTCGGGGAGTGCTTCTGCAATAAACCCTTCAAGGTGGAGGCGCCGGAATGAGAGTGATTTCAAGTAGTGTGGTGTACCACATCCACTGTGGAGAAGTACGCTGGTGTTTTTGTGACGGTTTCTTGGTCGGAGGGTTTAGGTATATGAAATTCTGAAATACTGGAAACGCTTTTCCAGCGGTGATATCAGTCCAACGCTGAGAGGGACAGCGGGGCTGTCACTGGAATAGTGTCTGTGATTTGTCGTGCACGTTGTATGATGTTGTATGTTCCTTACTGGCTTTTTTTGCTTCGCTACTGTGTTTATGACTTGTACCGTCAACTTTAGTAAATCAGAAATGAGTCTTTGAGGTTCACTGGATCAGTACCTGAAACATGCTCATCAACTTCAGCTCTTGGTGCAACTTGAACATTTAATAACCTTTTTAGTGCACGGCACCACATTTTCCCATAAAAACCTGACAGTGGGCTAAAAATAACCTTGTAAGAACAGATGTTTATATAAAGCATGATGGTGAGAGTAGTTTTAGAAGTATGGTATGTGCTGGTGTGATGTTAAAGCAAATGAATATAAAACTGTCTTTCAGGTTCAAAGAAGAAAAAAGCAGCCAAACCGTTAAGTTTCAAAGTTGGCGTAGGAAAAGTAATCAGAGGCGTAAGTAAACCATTAATGACTCTCTCGGAATCCAAATATTTTTCATTCTGCAGGATTTATGACCGGGGTGCAAATTTTCAACTGTTCTTATTGTTCCTGGTGGAGGTGAAAAGGCAAGCTGAAAGCATTTACATCCGCTGGATGTAGCGTTTGTTCTTTACGGATGCATTCATCCGTCTGCAGTGTCATTCCCCGCATTAAGTAGCCCGTGGAAAACAGCGTAGCAGCTACGTGTTCCTGCGGACGAGCGCAGCCTCCTGCGGATGTCTGTCTGGTGCTTTGCACGACAGACAAGGTTATCAGGTGCCCGGGGCTCCATCGATCGCTGTACGTGTTCGGTGTGCTTTAGTCTGTCAGAAGATTGTTCTCCCTCAGCATCTTTTTGGTATTTGCCTCGGTGCCTCTTCATGCGTAGTTCAGTTCATCCGTGAACCCTGAACTGGAGGCTGAAACTCCAGCTGCTCGTTGCTGTCGTGCGCTGCAGCTGTGCTGCCGTGGCTCCCCTGCTCTGTCGAGCAGCGAGTGCTACAGCAGCGCAGGCGGAGGCTGTGAGGGGGTGTCCGGGCAGGCTGAAGGCACTCGGTGGAAGAATCGAGTGTTCTGTGCACCCCTCCGCGTGCTTACATCTTGGAGTCGCAGACAGCGGCTTGAATTTGGTGTGTCTGGAGATACCAGCTTCTGTGCAGAGCAAATCGTAGAATCACAGAATAGTTATGAGGCGCTTAACTCTCGCTGCTGCTGAGCCAGTGGTGAAATCGGTGGCTGCCTGTACACGGTAAGAATGCAAGAAGGATCCTATGCTTTTCTGGCTTTACAAAACAAACCCAGCCCAGCCCAACCCGGCACAAATCTTCCCTGCTGCTGCTATGCAGGGAGAGGGCCTTTCTGGGTGACGGGATTGGAGCTGGGAAGGGGAAAGTGTCCCTGGGCTGGTGGCCAGCACTGCAGAACAGCAGTCGCCTGGGTTCTTCTTTCATCTCTTGGCGTGGCGCGGCTGTTTGTGCGGGTGCCAGGTATCTTCCTTCAGCAGCCACAGGGCACGAGCTGCAGCTGTTCTGTGTGAAACGCTGATACGGTGCTGAACTGAACGCCAGCGCCGGGCAGCGCGAGCGAGCCTTGAAGAGGGACGAGCGCTGAAATAAAATTAGTCCTTAAGCATCAGCCTTAAACAACGCCAGTCCATCGATTCTGCAGATGGCAGGGAACACGAGGCAGAGACAGGCCCCGGGGTACGGTGCGTGCCCTGGTCTGCTGCGAAACGCACGCTGAAGCTGCGGATCCTTACACTGAAACTGTTCCGCTAGCGTCCTCGCAACGTAAAAGCAGAGATCTGAGCTGCCGCGTACAGCACGCTGTCGCGGGAGCAGGGAACGCCAGCCGAGGGGAGCGTTTCCACAAAGAACGCGAAGCTACGGCACCGCGCGCGCTCTGGGGCGGGGGAGCGTGCTGGAGGGTGGCGTGGTGCCGCACGGGCGGTCACAGGCGCAGGCCGGAAAAGCCCCTGAAATGCTCTTCTTAATCTCTGTAAGGCTGCTGCGTTCTTTTGTTGTCCAAGTTTGGTTTAGTGTTTTATGGTTTGTTTGCTTTTTTGTTTGTGGTGGTTTTTTTGTTTGTTTGTTTGTTTTTTTAGTGGGATGAAGCTCTCTTAACAATGAGTAAAGGAGAGAAGGCTCAGCTGGAAATTGAACCCGAGTGGGCCTATGGCAAGAAGGGGCAGCCCGATGCCAAGTATCCTTCCACCATCAGTTACTCGTTAAGTAACTTGGAAGCGCTCGGTGGCACAAGGTGCTTTATGGGCAGGGATGTAACGGGGCACACGCACTCGGTACGTGTAGCAGGCTTGGAATGTTAATGAATATAAAAAACCTCAGTGAACCTAATGGATGGCTGCAATTGCCCGTTGGGTTTGAAGAAAAACTCCCGCAGGGAGCACTGCGGAGGGGAACTCGCTACGTTCTCTGCCTGCTTTCTCACTCCAGCTGCTCCTGCTTTCTTACCCTAGCTGCTTCCGAAGGCTTACTCCCGCGGCACCGGTGGGGACGCTGACCAGCGGGGAAGGGAGCAGTTTCCCGCTGCGACTGCACAGACAGCAGCTACAGCTTGGCTGGAACGGGGTTTGGGATGCAACCAAAATACGGGATTGAGCCCGCAGTGCCTTAGGCAGTCACGTTTATTTTTACCAGCGCTTCCGGAGGAAGGGAGATGATTGTTCTTCCTTACTTGAGTCCTGTATCATGGTAACTTTAAAGAACCACCTAGAAATTCTTCCCCCCGCAGTACAGTAGGACAGTCTGACCTCCTCCCAGAGGGAGGCTGGTGCCTGTTGTCCCAAAAATGGAGACGACGCTTCGGCAGTTCGGGTAGGGCTGAGCCGCTGGTCCCCGGGGAGCGGCAGTCAGGGCAGGGGTGTCGTGCTGGAGGCGTGTCCGCAGGGCTGGTGCCGACCGTCCGGTGACAAGGCACGTTGGGCAGCAGCTGCGGGCCCGTACGAAACCCAAGCTGAACCACAACGGGTCAGGGCAACACAAAACCGACACATGAGGAACGGGGCGGCAGGTGGGAACGCGCTTAACAGCGCCGGTATGCTGACGGGGGGTTGCGCTGCGCTGTGGTG